TAGTTGCCTAAGGTCTTTGAGACTTTGCGGCCTGTTGAACTGAGCCCTTCAAGCTTTTTGCTTCCTTCAGGAACCCTCCGCGGGAGTGCAAGCTCTCGTTGGTGCCTTCGGGCTTCGAGCAGGCGCCCGTGCATTTGTCTTTAAAACCGAGGGCCTGGGCCCAGGCGCAAGCCCGGTGCTACCGCTACGGGTTTAGGGAGTTTAGGGCTTCGACGGCTTGGGTCGGGACAAACCGCACAGGCGCGCTGCCTCTGTCGCTCACCAGCGAGAAACGTTTCGGGGCCGCAGTAGGAAACCTTCGGGCCCGTACCCTCTGATCGCTGCTTTGAAAGATCTGACTTGCTGCGGTAGCCACATGAGTACGACGGCAACCCGCTTGCGAAATCGGCACACTATGTGGCTCTTTGCCCCCAGGATTACTATCCATTGAGCCTTCTGCCAAGCGCTCGAAGCGCTACCTCTGACTTCTTTTTGGCATCCATGCAAATATCCTACCCTCAAACTTAAACCTTATTTCAGTTCTTGCACATAACATCATATATAGCACAAACCGAGCCGAAGCACGTAAACTACAAACAAGACGGCAAGCTTGCCTTTATCTGCTTCGGCCACTCGGCGAATCTGTGGCCCCGTAGGGTTCGGGGAAAAACTTGCAGAGACAACCCTCGGAGACGCAGGCGCCGCGACGGAGACAGAAGGAATTGTGGGTTTGAGGTCTGGACTCGCGGCTATAGGCCCTAGGCTTGGCCAAGCCTAGTGACGAGGCTTGGAGTCAGGAGCTGTTGGAATTCTCATTGCGTGTTTGCCGCTTGCTGCTTTGGGCCAAGTCTCAAGGGGTCTAGCCAAAGTCTGACCGACTCCGATACCGTTACATAGAGTCATTGTGCAAGCAACGCCTGATCCGTTGAAGCGTTTCTCAGTAGAATTTTGCAGTCTCAGCAGTATGCACCCGTAAACATGAATCTGCATAAACCCTGGGCCCTAGACTCTCCCTTGACCTCAAATGTTGCCTGTGAGCACTAAGTCCAAAGCACGCAAGCCCTCCACTGAAAACGGTCGAACCCCAAAACATACCAGGAACCTTGTTGAAAGCGCTTCCGGGAGATCTCTTTCAGAACGCATCCTAAACCTTCAACCTCGACCCCATCGCGAAGCGTCAGTGCTCTGCTACTACCACTCACGGGGCCTCGGCACGCGAATGGGACCGAGTGCAGTTGAACTTCTAGATCAGCCGTTAGGGCAGGGCATGTCACACAGCCTTTTTATACATGCTTGACTGTGTGAGGCACTGT